ATCCAGTTCCACCCCCTGCCATGGGCAGGGACACCTCCCACCAGCCCAGGTTGCTCAAAGCCTCATCCAGCCTGGCCTTGAACCCCTCCAGGGATGGGGCATCCACAGCTGCTCTGGGTAACCTGGGCAAGGGTCTCTAATTTACTCCCCCCACCCCCAAATTAATAGACAAAAGAAGACCCCCCAGCACCACTGGGCTTGTGTCTGGGTCCAGCGCTTGCCCAGACATCATTTCCCCGTGGATCCCGTGTAGTGCTGTTGGTCAGGCGTGTCTACATCCTGACGTTGGAGCAATCACTGGAGGTTTGGTTTCGTGGGCTAAGACTGAGCTGAGTTGTACAGTTCTGGTTTGGCTTCGTTTAAAGGTGGATATAATTTGTGCCACCGGAAAGCTGCTGCCCTTGGTGAAATGATGCGGCAGTCTGTGGAATTCCTCTGAATTTGCCACCTGCTGCTATTCCAGGAATAATCACTGGGCGTCTTTCGTAACGTACAGTAATTCCATTAGTAATGCTCAGGATATGATATCCATATGCACATGGTTACATTGCCTTTTTGATTGCCACTGTGCATCATATTCTCCAAGGTGGATTGCTTTTGGGGGCTCCTTTTGGGTTTTGACCAAATAGCTGCAAATACCTCGTTTTCATTACAACTCTCTGTTGTTTTTTTATTCTCTCTCTTCCCAGTTTCTCTAAATATCCAACATAGTAATGGGATTTTTGCTGGTATGGAAATTTTATTCTTGTACTTTTCCAGGACACATCCCATTTCCCACAGTCCTTGGGACACGTGATGGTTCCAGATTGCACCTCGCCCTATATGCTGCTAGGGCAGGTACCGTATAGATACAGGACTACTATGGGGTTGCCTGAGCTCAAGCAGTGCCGGAGGAATCCAAACCATTCCTCTGTCGCTCTGAAATACTGAAATCCCGGCAAATCTGAATCTAATTTAAAGCATCGCATGCGAGATGAGAAGTTTCTGAAGCGATCGTCCGTGAAACGAGATAGCCTCCGCAGGGCTGGCTTCGAGCTGTCAGCTCCCACTCGCGTGCGGGGAAACGGATGAAGGGTTTTTTTTCTGTGCAAGCGGCTGCAGCAGTTGCCATAGGGATGCTCCGTGGGCAGGAACGGGAAGGGGCTGACCACAGTACTGACCGTGGAGGAAAGCACCGGCTGTTCCCAAGGAGGGCTTAGGAACATGTTCTTTAGGTGGGTTTGAATGGTTGTCTATAGGTGAAAGCATGGTGTTCTTCCCAAAATTCTCAGTGACCCACGGCGAGGAATCCCGGCTCTGGTTCTGCGGGGGAGAGAAGAGAACGGGGAAAAGGCCACAGGAAGGAAAACAATAGGGAAGCGGAGGGAAGAGCTTGTGGGTTGAAAAATAGCTACACTTCCAGTAATGTGACCTTTTCCAGAAAATGTTTCCATCAAAAAAACCAAGTCTCCTCCTCCCCGGCACAAGCGGAGCGTAGGGAGGGAGAAGCATTCTGCTCTTGCCTGCGTGCTACTCTCCTGCTGCCTGCTTTGGGGGGGTCGGAGGTGATGGAGCCGGAGGCAGCCCCTGCACCCCGTGGGTGTGGGCTGGAGCTGCCCGCAGGGTGTTGGGCAGGAGGGATGGCGTGGTGGGGCAGTGGGTGGCCAGGGGGCTCGGTGGGCAAGTGGGGACCTTTGCTTTCCCAGCCTCAGAGGAGTGCCTGAGCTCCCAGCGCTTCTGGAGGAACGAGCTGTGGGGTACATGAAACCACGGTCCCTCTTCTCCAGAAACTTCGAGAAACTCAGCTCCACTAATTCTGTCTCTGTAACACCCTCCCTCCTCTTCTTTGTGTTTTTATTTTCAAACAAAAGCAATGTTTGGGGGGTTTTTTTTACTGCGCTTTTCCATTTCCTACACTTCTCTGCTTTTGAAGAAGTAAGGATGTTCTCCCTGAAACTGGTTTTGTGTAAACCAAGCAAAATTTCTGCATTCATCTCTTTAGTTCATGATTATTATGGGGTTTTTTCCATCTTCAGCTCCAGCAGCACTGGCCTGGCAGTGCTTTTTAAAACCCCTTTGCTCAGCATCCCCCTTTCCAAGGAGCTGCTCTCTAGGATGGGGTTGCCTTTCCCGTTGTCCCTGTCCCTGCACTGTGGCCTTGCCCTTGGCATTGGGGCAATGCATTTTGGTTTACATGGGACCACCTTACAAAACACCCCAGATTTTTCTGAATTACTCCACTTTTTAAAAAATGTTTCTGTGCCTCTGTGCTTCATTTAACTTCAGATTTTACCAGCATCAACGTCTTACTCATGTCTTAATTACTGTGAAAAATAAATAAATAGAATTTGGGAAAAACCCATTAAAACTCTGTTTTTCTGGGATTGATGCTACTGATGTCCTGACAGAGGCTGCATGTGGGCATTTGCGGGGTGTCGCTCTGGCTCTCTCTGGGGGCTGATGGCACTGAAGGGTGACACCGAACTGGCTTGTGTGCCCGGGGCTGCGTGCCACGTTCAGTGCAGGGTCCTCATTTAGTTCTAACAATTTGCAGTTGGTCTCAGGTGACCTCGGAGCACGCGCTGCTTGGAAGGACAGAGTCAACTTGTTCTTTGCTCCTGTCTCATGGCTTTGGGGAGGCGGCTGAGATCAGACCTAAGGTTTAATGGTCAGGCTTGAAGTTGAATTATGATTTTGTGTAAAATGAAAGTTCCTCTTCAAATACTGTTTCCACAGGCAACATAAAAGGCTTGCAATCCAGTTTAGTAAAACTTTTCCTTAATCTTTTGCAGTTCCTAAGGGTTTTCTGTGCTTTTCCCTTTTGAAAGGTTCGCTTTGCCAGCTAGTTCATTTGTAGGCAGGGAGATGTGAGCTTTTGTGTAGTAAAACTGCCTTTGTTTTTGCGCTGGAAGGATGTCTGTCCTGCTGGCGCTGGCCTTGTGGTGGCTTGTAGCGATGGCTTTGTGGAAGGGTGGTATCTCTACCCCTGTGAGATCTCCTAGCCTTCCCCAGGCATGGGCAGGACCCCACAGACTCCCAGCAGCCCCTGGGTAGCCCTTTCACAGGGGTGTTGTGGTTTTACCCAGCACAGCTGCTCGCTCACCCTCCCTCCCCTTCCCTGGGGGTGGGGGAAAGAATGAAAGGGGTGAAGGGAAAAGAGACTCGTGGGTTGTGATAAGAACAATTTAATAACTCAGCTACAATAATATTGGAAATAATAATAATTATGATGATAATAGTAATCTATACAAATGTTCAAATGAGTGATATATACAGTGGCACTGCTTACCACCCGATGACCAAGGCTCAGCCCGTTCCCAGCCAAGGATCCCAGAGCAGGGAGAGTCCTGAAACTGCAATCCCAGAATGGAGATAAGAGCCCGAGTGTCTGAGAGACTGAGACAATCCTGAGAGAGGGATGACCTGGAGGCAGACAACCCTGAGCAAGAGAGAGCCCTTCTGGACAGAGCCTCACCTCTCTCCTGGCCATGCCGTGCATGATATGGAACAGACCATCGGCCAGTTGGGGTCTCAGTCCTAACCCTGAGGTCCAATCCTGGGCTGGTCACTGGGGCTGTGCTCCCTCCCAGCTTCTCCTGCCCCTGCAGACACGGGCACAGCAGAGAAGCTGGAAAGTCCTTGACTGTCCTGGCAGCAGCTCTGCCCATCAGTGTGTGATCAGCTTCTCCTCAGCACAAACCCAAACAGCCTCACACTGGCTGCTGGGAAGAAAGTTGACTCTGTCCCAGCCCAAACCAGGACAGTGGGGAAGGTGTCTCAGCACACGTATGACTTATACAGCTTCAGTAGTGCTGCTGATGGTCTCTCCCAACCTCACACAAACACATCTTAAAATATTAAAAAAGAAAAAGCTAGATAAGATAAAAACCCCAACCAGCCAACCATGGGAAAAAAGACAACTATTTTCCAATTTGGTTGAAGCTCAGTGTTTTTGAAGGGTTAGCCTCTCTTATTCTGCAGATGATGTTCATTCAAAGGTATCAGAAGAGTTACTGAGTGACTGCCCTGCAGAGCGAGGCATTAAACATGGCAGATGTACGGAGTACATGTGAAACGCAGAGCTGTTGTCGGGTGGAATTTACATTTCTTTAGTCAGTCATGGGATGGCAGTAAATTCTTTTTTAGGAGAAACAAGCTGAGTTCAGTTATTGCAAAGGTATTTTTTGTAGATATCTGTTGCTGCCCTTTTTTACAACAAGCTTCTTGTCTTCTGGGAATTGCAAAGAACTGATCTTTACTACACAGATAACCAAGGTGATAGTTTTCCCTTTTTTCTTCTCTTAGCAAACATCTCTTACAATGAAGCTGAGTTACAGGTCCTGTTGGTACCCTTTACTGTTCTCTGCTTTAGTCTTAGCTGTGCTGCGGGTTTGTCCCACTTGGAACGACAGAGGCGAGTCTTCGCAGTCACCCTTTGGGCACCGGCTTCCTATCGCTGCCTGGGAGAGTGGCTGCAGTTGGGAAGTCCAGTCTGTCACTGAAGCACTTCACAATTTTTTCCTGCGTCCTTCATTACCTATTTACTTTTGGCTAAGCTCCTTTCCAAAACTGATTATAAAGGATACAGCACATAGCATCTTTCTGCATAAATTTTGTAAAGTGGAATCCTCTTGTTCCTGACTATAGGAGTCCGTCAGTTGATGGGAAGTTGATCCATTGTAAGTCAAGAGTGATCCTTTCTGTGAAGTCGTAGATTAATCTTTATCCTTTGTATTTCAAGTGATGCTGGAAGAGAGTTTTGAATATGCAGATGTGGAATGGTATCAAAAAGGGTCATGCGATGCGTTGATTTGCTTGCAGAAAACGCAGACATCTGCGGGAAGTGGTGGCTGGAGGGAAGCTTGACCTCTGAGTCCCTGTAGTGCTTTTTTACCGTTTAAAGAGCAGTGTGAGTTTAATGGTGGTGTTCTTGATTGGTTCCTCAAGGTCTTGGGTAATAACTAGATCCCTGTGTGAAGGAGGAATCCATTCATCTCTACTGTTGTCTTTTCCTATTGTAGTTGATGTGACCACAGCACTGCCCTTGCAAGTTGCACCGACTTCAGTCCCGATGGATCTGCGCTTAGACCACCAGTTTCCCATGCCCGTGACGGAGCCGACGCTGCGGGAGCAGCAGCTCCAGCAGGAACTCCTGGCGTTGAAGCAGAAACAGCAGATCCAGAGACAGATCCTCATTGCCGAGTTCCAGCGGCAGCACGAGCAGCTCTCCCGGCAGCACGAGGCCCAGCTGCACGAGCACATCAAAGTAAGTGATGGGCAACCTTGCGTTGGGTGGTGTGCGAAAGCATCCCTGCACCGGGAGAGGCACGTACTGATTTATTTTGGGGATGGAGATACTGTTCTGGTCTTGGTAACCCCTGTTTAAAGAAAGATCTTTTGTAAAAGGGTGCGAGCACCAGGATTTAAGAGGAGGATAAGGTGGAGGAGAGGAAGGTAAGGTGTTAGAGGGAAGGGATGCCATCCAGAGGGACCTGGACAGGCTTGAGACGTGGACCAATGCCAACCTTGTGGAGTTCAACAAGGCCAAGTACAAGGTCCTGCATGTGGGTCGGGGCAATTCCAAGCACAGATACAGGCTGGGAGGAGAATGGATTGAGAGCAGCTCTGAGAAGGACTTGAGGGTGTTGGTGGATGAGAAGCTCAACATGAGCTGGCAGTGTGCTGAGAGAATTGGGGTTGTTCAGCCGGGAGAAGAGAAGGCTCTGGGGAGACCTTCCAGCACCTTCCAGTGCTGAAAGGGGGCTACAGGAGAGATGGGGGGGCTCCTGATCAGAGAGTGTAGTGAAAGGATGAGGGGTAACGGTTATAAGCTGAAAGAGGGGAAATTTAGATTAGACATTAGGAAGAAATGTTTTCCTGTGCGGGTGGTGAGGCAGTGGCCCAGGGTGCCCGGAGAAGCTGGGGGTGGGTTCAAGGCCAGGCTGGATGAGGCTTTGGGCAACCTGGGCTAGTGGGAGGTGTCCCTGCCCATGGCACGGGGGTGGGACTGGGTGATCCTGAAGGTCCCTTCCAACCCAAACCATTCTGTGATTCTATGAGAGGAAGCAAGTTAAGCTGATGTCATGTTAAATGTTCTCTAACCCCTGGCATGTACTCAGAAGTCCTGTGCCCCACTGCCCAGAGGTGGCTTGCTTGCCCTGGATTTGGGAAATTTCAGTGAAGTTTCACCCAACAGGAGTGCTTTTAGGTTGCCTGTTACTGACACCACATCCGGTAGTAGAATAGCGTGTAAACTGCTCAGTGGACATACACCCACACGTAAGGTGCAAAGCAAACCTTTGGACCTTGGTGTCTCTGCAGGAGCAGGAAACGCAGATGCAGTGGGTGCAGGTAGCTCTACACAGCAGGAGATTTTTTTTCGGCATTGCATGGTGCAAGTTAGACACCAGGCGGGTGCTTTGCGCTGCGCTGTCGCATGGGACAGAGGGGAAACGTAGCACATGGGATAAGTAGGAAGTAGAGTTTAGAAGATGGCTGTTGCGTAGTGAAAATGTTAGACATTATATAAATATTTCACAGTGATGGACTATTGCTATGGCGACAGAAGCTTTCGGAATTGCTAATAGGCTCTCTTTTCAAAGGGGGATTAGCGCCGCACATGGTAAATAGCGTTAATGTAATATTAAAAAGCAACCTCAATTCAACCTTATATAACTTTCGTTTTAATACAAAATACATGTCAGAGTGGGGAAGATAGGATTAAAATTTAATGGTGTGTTATTTACAGACTTTTCCAACACAGATAAGAGCCTGGGTTTGTAGGAACAGTTGCTGTTTGGAGACTGATTAACAGCAAATTCCTGGGTCCTTAGTGGGTCCTCTGATGCGCTCTCTTTGGGACAAAGGTGTGGGGAGGTGCTTGCCTGTAAATACGTTTATATATTCAGTCATATGTATATGTAAGTATATACGTGTGTAGTTGGATATGTATACGCGTGTGCCTGTGCGTACGCATTAGTGCTGGAATAGCACACGAAGAGTTACAGCCTCTGTGGTTCACACAGTACATTCAAGGGGAAAGGAATGGGGAATTTCTGTGACAATATTTCCATTATTTCCTTGTGATTGCATGTGCCTTTAGACATTTGTCTATTAAAAATAAGAAAATGTTGTTCAGATTTAATGGACAAGCTCCAAGCGCTGATGGTAGAAGCATATTTGCTCTCATTTATGTTCAAGCTCTGACTGATTCTGTAAAAGCTTGTGTTAGAAGGAAGGCGAAATCTAATTTTGAGAAGCCAGTTAGCACCATTAGATAATGAAGTTTTTCCTCTAATGTCTGAACTTGGCTAGATAAAAATCTGAAAATAGGAATGATATAGTCCAGTGTGAAAAAGGATGACCTGCAAGGTGGCCTCCCATAGTAGTAAGTGTGTCATCATGCCCAGAATTGCTTTAAAAATAAAACAGCATGTTATTGAAATAAAGCCCGTGATGTCTCACAAATAAAATAAACCCAAAACTGTGCACTAATGTGTCATTATGGTGCGCTGTTTGGGGGCAGCATCTTTCGTATGATTGTGCTCGTAAATCAGCCCACACTCAGATGATTCTTAGTTTAAACCAACTTCCAGAACCTGGCAGCTGTGTTAAGTGCCATGATTGTAGGTGCAGGGAAGCTATTATTTTGTCCAGAGAACTAAAATTTATAACCTCATATTTGGACTTTGAACTTTGAGCTGTTCAGCTCCTTTATGGCTCATGAAAAAAGCCAAGGCGGGGGGGGGGGGATATTAAAGCCAATAAAAAACTTTTGTCCTGTGTCAGTGAAGCACTAGGGTTTGAACTGTGAAATTTGGTATAGAAATAGTCCGAAAGGAAGATGCAGAGCTTTTTGGGAGGAATTTGGGCGTTTTTTTAGAATTCCACACCACGCTGCTCCAAGCAGTGGGGATGTGGTCTGTCACCTTTTCTGGTTACTCAAACACTGACCCTTTAGACTAAATCTGTGAAGAAAATGAGGAAATTCTTGATGTCTTCTTTGGAAGCTCAGAATGAGCTTCATTTGATGATGGGCTTCTGGCATCACTGATGAGATTAAGAATTTTGTTAGTCTCTTGCCTCCAAAGCGAGCAGTTCAATATGCAGAAATCGTTCAGACCAAGCGATGTAGTTGTGAGATTCTTCAGCTGAAAGTGTTTTGTAGCCTGAGTTGTGGTATTGGAATGAATGCTTCCATCACTTCTACAAACATATATTCCCAAGTTTCTTCTTCAGGTGGAGAAGTCATCTCACTTTGGTTAAGAAAAGGCTTGGAGAACCTAAACCTGCCCAGATTCTGACTGACGACTAGAGTGATCTTGCAGCGTGCCTTACTGCTGCGCCAGGTTTGGTGCTTGGATATCTTCAATGTCTTCCCTGACACTGAGAGTCTGGTTTTGGTTTTGGGTTTGTTTTTTGGTTTTGTGTTTTTTTTTTTTTTGGATTCAGAAAACAATCTCAGCAGCTATTGTGAGGTGACTGTGCATCCTACAAACTTACTTCCTTTCCATAAATTCGGGTCTCCTGAAGTTTTGTTAGAATTTCAAGCCATCAGTACAACCTCAAAAAGTAATGAAACAAACCAAAAAATGTAAAATGCAAACATCAAAGCTCTAAACTTACTCTGATGTCAAACAAAATGGCAGTTCTTTGACTTTCTTCCTTGCACTGGTTTCCTTGGAGGTGATCAGTGCCTTCCTTAATCATATTATTAAATCCTGCAATTGCTTTGTAAATTATTTCCGTGAAGGGGGAGGAGGATTTCTGCATCTTACTGTGTTTTGTGTATCTGCCACTATCTAGAAGCAATTGCTTTGGCTTTTACAGCCTAGCACCCACCATTTTAATGGACAAGTGCAGAGCATTTATTTGTTCATCTGTTTGTGTACTCGAGCAGCAATTTCTGTGCTTTACCCATTCTCGTTTCATTCTGTTTCTAAAGCCTTTTGCTTCCAGTTCCTGGATTGTAAGTGTATTTTGGCTATAGCAGGCCAATATGCAGAGCAAACATTGTGTTGGATCCCTCTTTCGTCAAGACATTCCGGTTTAAGTACCTTTGCACTCTTCCACTTACAGATGTTGAATCGTTTTGTCAACAGGAATTTGGTGGCTGGGCACCTGCTGCTGGAAGTCAAAACTAGTTTTGATGCAATTTCTTAGGCAGTTCTTCTGTATTTTGGACAGACACGTACAGCCGGCGTTGCGAAGTTACAGCAAGCAGCACTGTGAAGATTCTAAACAGCTTACTCATTTTAAATGTTAAACCCTTAGATAGTACAGGAAGAATCATTTTTTGTGTTTGTTTTATTTCTTTTATTACTATAGAGTTGATGTGAATTACAAGTGGGGGAATATCTCTCCCTCGTGCTCCTCAAACTAAGCCCTACTGTAAGAAACATCCTGAGTTCTTCTTCGGTAAATGAAATTTGGCTTGAAAAATCCTGGCATATCTTTCTTATTTTTCTATTCAAGTTGATAACTCTCTCCCATTGAAATCTGAAGTTTGGGTATTTTCGAGAACTTATTTCTCTTCCAGTATCTCAGTTTTAATCGTCTGACCCTAGTGCAAGAGGAGAAGACGACAGGATGGTCACAGTCCTTCTGGCTGCACCTGCGATTCCTTCCCTTGTCCCCCCGGCCAGTACTCCTTGCTTTTGTAGACATTGTATTTTGCAAGAAGTGACATAAAAGTGGCAAATTCCTGGATTTGGAGAGCTGGGCTCCGAGTGAAAGAAATTTGTGGAAGGGACGTATAATGGACACAGAGACGCATGGAGGGAGTGGGATCGTTGCACGTGGGGAGTAAGGAGAAAACCCTGACGTGTTTAGGGAAAGTAAGCCGAGCCTTATGAAGATTTCACACCATATGGAAATAGAAAAAACTGTCTTTCACAACTACAGCTCAGCTTTGCCGATTGCTGAGGCTTGACATCCGAAAGCGGCGTGGGGAAGGAAGCTGGGGAGCAGCGGTGGCTGCTGCAGGCTGGCCGGAGGTGGAGGCGACGGTTCTTTGCTCCTGTAGCCACTTACCTTCAGTGAAATGGATTTTCCACTCAGGCGTGCCTCGCCAGATGTGTAACAAAATTTATAGCCTTCAAATCTGCCTTCCTAAACAAAAACAAGGATGGAATAAGGAGCCTGGCGCCCAGGGCCGTTGCCGGTGAGACGGTGGAAAGCCTCTCGGCAGGTCCCAGTGTGAGCTTTGCTTGACCTTTGATTGCGAAGGAATCGGCAGTGAATTTTTTCCTTTGTGAGTCACTCATT